CAGAAATTTATCCATTGTTCTTTCCATCAGAAAATTTCTATTCAAAACTGTTCCCCTTCCCCTTTGATTGATAAAAAATAGCATTTTAGCGATATATGATAAATGAATTAGTTACCAGTTACTGTGATGATTGGACAGTAAAAGTTAAAAGCAATAATATTGTTGTACCCTTTCGATGCTTTGTTTTTATCAGCAGCATTTTTTTAGATTTAAGTTTCTTCATATTAACTGAGACGAGCCAGGCCTTTTTTTGAACCTATGAATAAAAACATTTCCGTTTCACATTGATAAAAATACATTTTTTGTGTATTTTAAGTCTTAATACATCAAAAGTAACGTCAAAAGAACCAAGTATTAGTGAGAGGTTTAACAGTTTAATTTTCTGTAGAGATCGTGATATAATCTGTAAAGATAGTAAGAGAAAAAATTATAAACCAATAAATTAAAATAAAAGAATGAGCATGAAGGAATTAGTTGTACTTACCGAGACAACACGGCCCTCAAAAAGAGAGGGTGCTACTTTAGCAAGAGTTAAAGGTTAATGATGTGTTTTTTGGTGCGATTTGTGAACTGGTAACAGTGAATACAATAAGATACTCGATATTTGATTTTGCTAATTGTTTTAGCAGTAATGGTTCAGCGGATCATTTAAATAAGACGGCATTTGTTCTTTTAAAGTTTTTTTTCAAGTATGGTGAAAATTCATTTTTAAAAAATTCTTCAAAACATTATACTTCATTTATGAATGTGTGCTTGAAACCAGCCATTAAAATTAGGCATGAAATCTTTTGCAACATGAACTTCCCTGCCATCATTTAATGCGTGAAGTAAAACGGCAACAAAAAATTTTTCTTAGTGACAGCCTAAAATGAGTTTACGCTTCTACATCTAATTTTTACATCTAATTTAAACATCTAATTTTTGCAAGATAAAAAAGAAGGTGATGACTTAGTTAAAAAGCTAAACTGAAATTAAGCGCCTTTTGTTTCAAATGGTCGTTGTTGATAAATGCAGAGGTAGTGCTAATTAACTGACATATCTTCGGTCTTCTAGTTGCAGTATCCAATCACACTATGCTTTAATTCAGCTCAAGAGCTGTTGAGAATGTCGCTTAGCACTGTTAACAGTTCCAAGGGACTTTGATTCTAAATATCAAAGAATTTTTTAAATGTCATTTGCAGCTGGAAAAGAATCGGAGAACAACTGGAAGACTGGAGTCATAGCCTGGAATGTGAATTGCCTGAAAAATTGTCTGAATTGGCACAATGGTTGAGCACTGCAGAACAAATGATACAAAATCCAGTAGACGTACGGATGGACGATGTGCAGTTATCACTATCTAATATCAATGAATCAATTAGTCATCATAAGGTTCATTGATTCATCCAATATAATAAATGCCTTTTTACACGAGTAAGATGTGCGGTTAAGGAATGTTTGCTTTCAAAATTTCGTTAATAGCGTTTGAGGATGAATATATCTGGACAAAAACGTATCTAGACAAAAAATATTATCAAATAGTTTTTTGAGACATTTACGCTCGTTGTTTTATGTGCTTTTATGGAGAACATTTCCTACAGATTCACTTCTCGGAATTTCCCTATCGGTCGGAACGATTTCAATCCATCTATCTTAGCCGAAGGGTAGACGAACGCGAAGTTGCTGTAGAATTGTTAGAACCGTTGAAGATTCGATTCAATGCTTTAGCAGCTGCAGCTCCATGTCGTTTGCAATATCTTTATCGAATGCAAGCACACTATCAGCTTCTTTCTAACGCAGATACGCTGAATCAGAAGATGGAACGATGGAAATCTAGTGATTCAGCTGCTGCTATTCAAAAGTCTATGAAAGAATATAAGGTAATTTGAGTTCCTGTGAACTTTAGCATTTTTTTTTCCTCAATTTGATATTTTTACCTATTTTTTTATTCTCTATTTTCCGAACTAATTGAAGTTTCCAACGATATTTGTAACTGAAATATTCATTCATGGTAGACTGGTCTGAATACATTGCTTCGAAATTTTAGATGGAAGCAGACAGTGCTCCAGCGAAAAAATTCAAACGACTTCTTACACATCTAAAAGAAGTTTACAGTGAAGGTATTTTTTTTGTTACCTTTTCAAATATTTGCGAAAATCAAATGAGTAAATTAGTAAGAAAAGTCCCAGTCATTACAAGCAATCGATGTTTCTGTTCTCCACACCCAAAAGATGTTTATCTTCTTTTACACATTCTGTTTACGTTGATATTACTACTTCTATTTTCTGTGTTTCGTCGAATATTTGTAATTATGTTCCTCTTGAAATATATGCGTCTGTATCAAATTTCGCGTGCTGTGTGGTGTAATTCTAAATTGCCGAAGCAATGAAAGTGGATTTTAGAAATATATCGTGAGAAAAACTGGAATTAATGAATAATCTTTCAACTATTTGAGTAAGAACTACTTTCCGAAACGTATAAATCATTGAATTCTTATTTTTACCTCATGGTCAAAGCAATTTTTTTGAATTTTAGCTTCTTTAAAAGAAACTGATTACGTTATCAAACAATGCGAAGACGCTTCATTGGAAACCGTGGAAAAATTCCAACATTTGAAATCGCATCTGGATGAACTCTTCAAATTTTGGCGTGACTTTGAGAATACCACAGCTAAAGTACTGCAACCAAGAATTATTTAATTTTTAAAAATTCACTTTAAAACCGAGAAATGAAGCCCTAAATTTAAAGAAGAGTTTGATTTTGTTTTCCAGATTGAAGAGAGAATCGCACGCTTAGAGCGCGACAAACACAGTCTGATCGGTGAAGATGATAAAGAGTTATTAGTACATTGCGAAAGAATTCGCGATGGTATTGCAAGATTTGCGAATAATCAAGTACAGCAAGTTGTCAGCAGTCGTCTTTCCGAGCTAAAAAAACGTTTCAATACAGTAAAATTAGTATGTTTCCAAATATTTCGTGAATTTTGCAACATATTTGCTGCAACTTTATAAAGGGAAAGTTTGGTTATCAATTCTGTTGGCACTACTAGTTCGTGAATAAAATCCAGTTGGAAACCACAGAAACCCGCATTACTGAACATTGAAGTCGGGACGGGAAATGAAAGGATAAATTTGTGATTCAGGAATTTCCATACAAGTTTTGGTGCTTTACTGTGAAGTTGCAGAAAATCCCAGTAAAAGTAGGAATACACCTGCAAGAAAATGCATTGTCCGAAAAACTGCTACGAACCAAGGTCACATTATCCGGTCGTGAAAATGTTGCTACTTCAACATTAGATGCACAAGGTCTCGGACAAAGTCGTCTTCAGAAATGGCTTATCATGGCTCGTCAACAAATGTCCACTGTTGTCATCGATTTGAATAGTTTGGAACAAGCAATTAATCAAGTGGTGGTTGGTACTTTTGGATATTAACATAAAGATCTTTGTCATATTAGAAATTGATATCATTTGGTTGGTTTTACTGGAGGAATTCATTATACTGCATTGTGCCATATGCAAACATTATAGCATACAAAACAGTAACATATTAGTTATATTAAGGATAGATGTAATTTTTGTTCGTTTACTCATCGTTTATGCGTAGAATTGTCTTCGCGAAGTGCAAGAAGTGGAAAATGAACGAATGGCGTTGTTGAAAACACGTAGTACGAACAGTGACCAAAGTGCAGGCGAATATCGCAAATTGCGTTCGGATTTGCAAATTCTGCTGCAACGTATGAAGAACGTCCGACCTCTGTTTTTGTCATTTGAAAAAAATTACAAGAATCTTCTACATTGGCTCAATAACCAAGTAGGAATTTGTTTCTTTTCAGGTTCATTATATTCTTTCTGTTTGGTTCATCAGCAAATCTTGATCTTATCTTAAATCTTGATCCCTTATATAACGTATAATCAACATATTTTTAATACGTACTCCAAGTCATCGAGTAATCATGATTTTACTTGATTAATGTTTATTTTTCAGCCAGTTTTCCTTAAACTCATGGTTTTCTAGGAAGATGAAAAGGAAAATGAAGAAAGTGAAAAGTCTGATATGATAAGTCATATGGCATTCTTGCTGGAAACCTTATCAAGAAATGAATATAGAGAGTGGATTGATTGTGATTGCTTGCAACATCGGCTCGATGAATTAAAATACAGAATGAAGGTTCAGTAATTTTATCATATGCTTTTACTGCACTGTAATGAACTGTGTTTGAAGTAAACGATGTCCGAAACGTACAGTTCAGATATATAACATCGTTCTAATTGGAGCAACTATCTAATTTTCCTGACTGTCGTTCTATCTTATTTTTGAGCTAGTTTTTCCTTAAACTCATGGTTTTCTAGGAATTAAATGAATTGATCAGAAATTTCCAAAAAATTAAGCATAGTGCTCATATTGCTTAGCATAATTTGGATCTCTCTTATGATATTAATTGTCATAGGAAGTTGTGACGCAACAATGGTTCTCAGTAACAGGTAGAAAATATATATACAGTATGAATCAATAATTATAATAAAGAAGTGAAAGTAGCTATATCCGAGCTGTTTCTTTTTATTTTAATTTTTACTTTGCAGGAAAGGAAGAAACAACTTGTAGAGGCGGTAGAATCAGCAGAAATTGCAGTGAGTTTTTGTTACGATTTTAATTGTTTTCAATTCCGAAGTTAATTTGTGTTATTTGTTACGATTTGTTTTCAGTTTTTATTTCCTAAATTAGTTCCTCATTGCCTAAATCTAATCCAAATAAAGTTTGGATTACATTGAATAATTTTGAAATCTGGGTTCCAGCTGCTTGTTTATATGCATAAGAAAGAGTTTTTGGAAAATTAGGGCAAACTGAATATGACTGTTGTCTTTGTTAGTGGTTAAAAATGAAGAATGAGTGAAACTTTTGAATTCTTATAAAAATTTTCTGCATATGAATCATCTTCGTGAAAATTTTGTCAGGATATAAAATGTGTTAGCAGTAATTTTCGAGATGAAATCCCAGAAAGAAGGGGAATTTGTTCATTCTTATAAGTTTCTTTGTTGGTAAATAATGTAGGACATTGGAATAGGCATAGGAACAGTCTCTTTCCGATAATAATTAATGGTACGAATCCCTTCGCTCCCTTACCACTCCTGTCCCTTCTCCTTTGACATAATCGATTTTATTATTTTTTCAAAATGAAATTCTTGAAGGCAAAGTATAAATAGCCAGACATCCATTCATTCTCTTTCCAGTTTTGTTTCATTCTTTTCCATTCAAAATTATGTGGGAATTTATGTTTTGTAACATACCGGAAAATCAAAAATGAGAAAGAGAAAAGAGGAGATAGGGCGATTCGTGACTTTTGTAAGGTAAAAACTGCTTTTAAAAGTGCGAAACAATGAAGATATATTACATATATCTTAATATTGCAAAAACGGCTGTGAGGGCATGAACATGATGAGGATTGTTATCTTACTTCTGGAACTTCGGTTTGATCAGTATAAAGTAACCGTTAAATTTCTTTTGGGATTGATTTTAGATTTGATTTTATATCTTTCCTTGCACACACACGAAATGTTGCAAAAACGTAAGAGATATATTACGAAATATTATAAAAACTTTCTGTTTGAATTTTCCTACAATTTGTTATTGCATAGGTGAATCACTGCTTTTTCATGGTCAGCCGTTGAAGTCGTTTTCAAACAATTAAATGCTTGCTATTGTCAATGCTATTTCATCCCTAGTTTTTTCTGTCATCTTTTCTATTGCTCATACTTCATTTTCCCCTAAATAAGATGACTTTGCAAAATTTTGGAGGATTCCAAAAGTTTTGGAAAAATTGAGAGTCGTCTTAATTTTCGACTTGAAGGGAAAAGTTTAATTTTCAGACCAGAACTGCGGCATTGACTAAGAAGAAGAAACTTCTGGAACAATCTGTGGAAAGCTGGGCAGATATTAAAACTTGGGTCGACAACATCACAGAAATCGACAGTCATTTGGAATTCATTTTCTCTACAGCCAACAGTACTTCCATACCCGTATCTGATGAATTCAACAGTGAGAAAAAAAGACTTCAGAAAGAATGGCAGCAGAAAACAGAAGCCATTGCCGAACTGCAAATGATTCATGACGCGATAGAGATACTTCGGAACAAGCTGGTAGAGAATCCACGGCTGTCGGAACTGATATTCTTGAATGCGGAAATAAACAATCTAAGCCGACAGTGCATGAATGTAGTCGATCCCAGCGTCACAGGCCTTCGAAATTGTTATCTGAAGGAAATTGAGGAGGAACTTCGTACAGCCATCACAGAATCATTTTCAAGGGCGGAGCAGCGAGTCATCGAATTGTCGGCGGTTGGCGAAACGGATGTACGGCTTGCTGTTGACATTCTTCAGGTCTGTTATGTTTTTGTTATGTATGTGTGTGTATGTGAGTTGGTGTATCTAGTGGATGAGCGTATGTATGTGTTGTCGATCTACTTCCGTAATGCTTTTTACAATTTTCGATTGGTGGAAAGACGAACTGCCAATACCTCATTATTGAGACTATAGTGTCCCATATGGCGACAATCACTCCTGAAAACTTCAGGCTTCAGGCGAGATGCTCCCACGTGTTGGTTAAGTGATCCAGCCACACAGTAAGCCTTTCCTATAAACCCTTCGCTGCGATAATGCCTGATTTATTTCATCAATTTAATAGTGAATTTAAAATGATTTTTAAATGAGTGGAAGTTAGGTAAAATTACTGAAGAATATGTATGGGTAAATGAAAAATGAATGAAATTATTGCATTTTAAAGCATTGTGCATTGTTTCGTGACATTCATGGATTTGGTCTTTCAATCTCAGTATAGTCTTGTTACTATTGACACATTTTCAGTTATATATCGCACTGAAAATTTTTCAAGGATTGTCCGAATTATCTAAGAGAAATTGAAACAGTTATATTTACTACTTACCAGTAGCATTTTGCCTTTTCTTATTAATCATTGTTAATCTTTGTTCCTCATCGCCCATACACTTTTTACTTCTTAGTAGAACTTTTCTACTTCAAAATTCGAAAAAAAAAGTGAAGATATATAGTTTGTTGCAGAAAACGATCCTTTAGAAACTCTAATAATGAAGTAACAAGCGTCTATTTCACAAAATACTGCTGTTTCATGACTAATATCGAACATAACCAAGCTATATTTTTGGTTCCTGTAGACTTACCTATTTATAGATGAAGTTTTTAATTGAAAATGATTGGAAAATTGCAAATGTTGAGTTGTTTTTTGAAAATGAAAAAAGCGGGTGCTTTAAATGTAATATATAGAGGCACATTATATTTGAAGCATTCATTTCCAGTGATTCGGTTTATTTTGCTAATCATTTGTTAGTCACAAGAGCTCAGAAAAAAAAACAGCTAGTGAGGAAACTGATTATAAATCAGTAGTTTACAAGTTGATGTTTTCACTAGGAAATTGAGCATATTGTCCTTTAAAAATTATTATAAAGAAAAAACCTGAAACTGGTTCCCAACAAATTACTAACTCACCAAGGAAAATGTAAGTTTTCATATTCTGTTCCTTTTCCCTCGAAGCAGATAAAACACATGTTGGGAATAACGAATTTCTTCTTAGAGACGATTAACCCAAGCCTACAGACCTGGCATGATCAGTTTTTGATCATTCTTCAATTACAGTTTTTCTGATTGAAAGCGAAACCAATCTTATTAGGCTACGGTTGTGACTATTCCAACCTCAGTAACTTCCAGGATAGGTATACGTGAATTTAACCAGTTAGCTGAAATTAAAGGAAAAAAATATTTGACGACTCAGCTTTATGAGACTTATTGAATTCTCCCAACCTACTAAAGTGGCATTAGTGATTCTCTGGGCTCTCTAGTCTTGTTACTCTTGCATCGCACATCCAGTGGTCATATTTTTATTCTTTTCCACCTTGTGCTTCGCTTTTGAAATGGTTGGATATACATTTTCGATTGCTTCCGCAAATCTTTCAATTTGAACTGTAATTTCACTGAATGTTGAGTACAGATTTGCTTTATTGAAATGCGAATTTGGTATAGCATATATGCACTCCGAAAGGTGATATTTGTTAAGCTACGGCTAGACTTCATGAAGTCCTAAGTATTAAGAGGTTTCAGGCAAGTAACCTAGAGAAAGGCTCCACACCTTGGCTGAGAGATCAAAACGAAAACACTAGCTGAGTCATTCGCAAGGTGACAGTATAATTCGTATCTGTTATTTTTTTCAACTCGAATGTATGTTATTTGCTGTTCACCGTAATACTCTACCAAGTGGCGTTTTAATTTCTAAACTTTCAACCCTGACTCAAATCTCAAAGCTTACAAAGAATTGGCTCAAATTGCTGATCATTTCCAAGTAGATAAGTTCATAATTCAAATATCCTCTGCTTGAAGTCAAGAATTATTGTGTAAGGATAAGGTGAAGGAAGCCAGAGTTTCGAAATTTGAACTGTGAGTGATAGGAGGATTGAGCTGTGAGTGATAGGAGGATTGAA